ACTACTATAATCCAATGCCTCAGGCTCTGCTAAGATGCGTCAGTAATCGAGAACAGCGAAGATATATGGCGAGTACCCGCTACTGCACAACTCGGACTGATTTGACCAGTCGCTTCATGTCATCGATGTCGCACATAGTCAAAAACGAGCACCCGACGAGTCGAAGTTCTTCCAACGTCTTCGTTCGCTTTGCTATGCACCGTTTTAGGGACTCAATGATGTTTACTTTGTTGAGAATGAGGGGCATCCATGAATCAAATGAGCAGTGAGAGTAGTTGAGTTCCAGGATGCGAAGCGACGGGATGCAGGTGGGATAGTGGGCGAGTGTGCTGAGAAGACGGTCGAGGTCTTTGTACGAATACACGCGAAGTTGAGTGATTACCTTCGGATGCAACAACTGTTGTGCGTCAAGCGCGACCCATCTGATCCTATCATACCGCCTTTTGACACCCACAAAGCCTCCTTCCAAAGAGGCCATAGTTTTCATCCATGCACATACGGCCGCGTCTTCATTCATTCCAATAGCAGCTTTCATGAATGTCGGCGAATCGAGCCCATAGGCCACGTATAGATATGCGCTATGTTGGACGATATCGAGACTTGCATCTGCTGGAAGTTTCGTAGTCAATAAGGAAGCTAGAGTTACTAAATCGCCGTCGGAGGCATGCATGCACAGAACGGACAGCCTAGGAACAATGATCCTCCGCAGAAACCTTGTGCACTCTAATGCGTCACCAGCCTTGATGAGCAAACATTTGAGCGACAACAGTTCCACTTGCTGAGCTGGCGCATCCTCTTCATGATCGCGCTGGGTAGCATGATATAGGTTTAATGATTCCAGCAACGGCAGACCCTCCAGTACGGAGAGTAGATCGATACAAGAGAGGCCTAGAGGACTGCGTATCTCTAGATGCCGTAATGAATTGGATGTTATCTTGGTCCAAGCCAGGGTGCAACGTTGTAATTGAAGTCGATTCAAGTGTGTGGCATATTTGGGACAAAATATGTCAGGCAGGGGGAGATCTCTGTCGTGCCCAGACATGAATGCCATAGATTCAAGGAGGGGCGCAGGTGAATTAAGAACAGCATGGATGTCTTCATATACCCGGATACCAATATAGATACCTCGGATCCGCGACATTTCTTTGGAGAGAATCTTGCGCAACACCCCGCCAATCATTCTCTGATAGAGAAAGCGATCTTCTTCAAAGTAATTTGTCAATGTGAGAGTGAAGGGTGCTTGCTTTGTGCGCTCGACCTGGAGTTCTACCCACATAGGATATGCATTTATTACCACATTCGTCCAGAAAATGGAATAGTCGAGGGCGATGTCGCGCCAGTATCGACATACTCCAGAGAGTGTAACGGCCGCACGAGCTTGGCGAGCGCGCATCTCCACGTCCTCTACAGCAAGGATAGAATTGGCCAAGATCGGTAAGATTGTAACGTTCACTGCGTCGGCAATATAATGGAGGAAAACGTGTTCCAGAACTTCGCGAGGCAGAACCGCGACCGGGGACAGCGTGTTTATCATCGATTGAATTTGTCGAAAAGCACAGCGTTTCGAGCCCTCGGTCATAAGGCATTGTCGCCGGTTTTCCATGGAAAGGTCTTGATAACCGTCTCCGCAGATGGTGTGCATAGCATCCCGAATATAACTGTACCCAGCCTTAGCGAACCAGTGCGTGGGGTAGGCAACATGGCCCATGGATTGAGGCATAAGCGTTGCTCACCTGCTGATAAATTCTCCCGTAGACTCGGACGTCGTTTGAGCCATCCTATGCACTAAATAAGAGAATGTGAGGCAGTGCACAAAGGAACTAAAACAGTCAGCTTCACATTGTACTTAGGAGCTGGTAGGGCAATGCAACTTAATACCTCAGCCGCAATAATTGGAGGTTCTCGAGTGATTCCGAGTATGGTGATGAAAATGGAAAGCAAGATAGTGATATACTGACACTTGTACCGGCTTCACTGATAGAGGCTCTACCAGTGAGGAGGACTCGACGAAAAAAACACTCACCCTCGGCTCCACCGTGCACGCGCACAATGCAAGGCTGCGACGCTAACCCGAACACGGTACCGTGACTCTATTCACGCACTGTACAGTGTAACTTAAGCTTGAGGTGCTGCCAGCTTCTTTCAACTTTCCCACCGACTCCGCTGGCTGTGTGTGTATGTCTCTGGACGGATGTCATCGTGATTATCTTCAAAAGGATAATCAGCTCGACCAACATGCTCACTTCGTAAGTCAACATTTCTACGTCAAATGTCCAAAGCGACCCTAGATACGCAAGTCATCAATTTCTAGGACCCGCAAAGACGGAAGAGACGCAGAGCAAGCGAGTTCCTCGAAGAGACAACTTAGGAAGCTAGACCGGACCGCAAGGAGGTGCGTAACATCTTGAAGGGCCATGGTAGTGACTGCGATATTGAACATATCCTCCATCTCTGCCTTTGTGAGGACTTCAAATGTAGCTACGTATCGTGAGCCCTGGTGCTTCTCGCGAGTACAGCCCACGATGCGTCCGTACTTTGTAGAGAATGTATAGGCGATCCCACATGAGCGTAAGACGGCCGGCTATATCGCATCCCACGAGCATATTCGAGTGGTCGCAGATAACGTCAGGAGTGGAACGAGCGGGAAGCTTCTGCATGGATATATCCGTCGCCGGTGCAACTGGACTTTTCACTTTCATTCTCAAGACAGACAGGTTTAGTAGGATCATCCTATCGAAGAAGCTCGCACAGGGAATAAATGGGGCTATATACGCTCCGGATGGAGGGAAGAGTTACTGGGATATCCATAGTTCCTGGTTGGTCTTCCAGAGCCCAGCCCAGCCTCAAAGACTCCAGGAGAGGTAGTTTTGTTACTGGCAGCGAAACAAGATCGACTCGTTGATCAATTAATACCATCTTGTCTTCGTGCATGTTGGTTGTAATTGAAAATTCGCAGACGCAGAGTGAATCGGAACTTGTTCTTGCTTACCAAACGCCGCGACTTCTGCCATTTTTGATGTCCTGACTGCCAGACCTCTTTTAATGGATTCCGTGACGGCGTAGGAAGTCATCTGCCATGTGGCTCGGCGCACAATACGCGTACGCTTGAGTATGTATCATTAGAGTCTGAGCTTCCCCGGAGAGGCTACTGGTGTAGATGGGTCTACCTCCAAAATTCTGCACATGCCATAGTGCAGTAGCACAGGCTGTCCAGTCTGTTAAATACTGGGAGTACAGAACGCAATCTAGTTACCATGTATCTGCATCCCAAAGCTCAGCCAGACAACCTCGACGCGCCTTCGTTGAGTCTCGTTGTAGGCGTTGCGTCTGGACCAGACCAGATCTCGTGGTCGACCATGATCATGTAGACGATTGCGCTCAGCTCAGTCAAGAGGGCGTCCATGACCCACGCGCACCGAGTGAACACTATAATCTCCACGTCCGCGAGGTCCGGGCAAGCGCGGCGCACCAACACACAGTGAACGAGCGCGGCCTCCATCGTGACTTTGTTATGATCCTGAGAGTCAATGTTTATGTCCATGATCTCCAGGGCACGCATGTTCGGCAGACATGAGGGGACGGCGAGTTGTGTGAGGAGTCATCGAATTTGCGATATTGCGTAACACTGAGGTATTGGACGCCATCCAGTACGGGCGAGACGAACAGGGCGGCGCGCATATCCCGCTCGATCTGCTCATTCTAACTGACACCGTACGCGATGACTGAAAGTGGGCAGCTATTCTCAGGTCTCGGAGGGCGAAGGTGTGCAAGCGAGTGAGGGAATAGCATGGTACCAATGTGCTTGAGGAAGCGGTATCCCACAAAAATGACTGATCCGGTTTGTATGATGGTGAGCGTGTCGAACGGAGAGAGCTTGGACACGAATGCGGCCATGAGCGATGTGCTGGCATTTGAGGCCGAGCTCACGCTGAAAGTGGTCAGATTCGGGAGCACGGTACTGTCAAAAAATGCCACGGGTAGTGAATCGCCACGACTTGCGACGTACAAGATCCGAATAGAGCCGAGTGGGATCGGATAAGGGGCTCTATCCCAATCCCCAAACTGACAGCATAGCTCCAGGTGTTCGAGCAAGTGCACCGTCTCCAATAATCGACGAGGTTACTGGTGTAGGTCGATGTGCTGTTGATGACTAGGTAGCAGAGTGTGTGGACGGGCAGAACCGAGAGAGGGGTCTGTGTGTATACCTCAGAGCGCGGTACAAATGTAGAGAGGACTCAGGGTGGAAAACAGCTTGAAGCGGGACTCTGGAATCATAGAAGCCGGAGAATATGAGATGCTGGAGGAGTGACGCGCGATCAACGATGCATTGAAGGATGCCCTGGTCGATATCGCACACGAGGTCGATGCCCTGGACGCGGATAAGACTGGACAAAACGGCGTCGACTCTAGCATGTTCAAGAGGGTGAGCGCGAAGGGCATGTTCTTATTGCAAGAGCTGGAGAGCTGTCCAAGCCGGGTTGCTTTTGGATGCAATGGTGACATTCATCCAGATGGCGGCACAGTTAAGAGCGACGTTGCGCCACAGACGGCAGACGCTGGACAGTTCGAGGGCGGTGATAGACTGGAGAAAGCGGGAGTCGCTTGAGCTTGACAGGTACTGGAAAAGAGGGCCGATGGGAAAATAGGGAGGACGCTGAGGTCGGCTGCGTTAGCGACATGGAGGAGGAAGATGTGGGTGAGGATCTCAGGAGGGAGGGAGGAGATGGGTGCGAGTGAGAGCACGGAGGTAGCTTGTTTCTTCACATATAAGCGGATATCGCTGCACTTCGACTCTGCGCGCGTGTCAGGCCATTGGTCGCAGGCAGGATCTGAACGAGATGAGGTGACTTACTCTGAAGCCATAAGTATAAATGCAGCTGTAGGCTAGCATCGATCGCACCGGAAATTACGCGAGCGTTCATTTTCGTAGGCCGCTGACTCCGCCCTAGTGTCATGTGACATAGTACCTGTGCGCACCTTTGCCAATCTATGTAAAGGTTGTGCTTCGTGTGGTACATTTATATAGCAACCATCACATTGCCTACATGTTTCAAACTGTCGATGTCGCCGGACCGTAGATGGCATTCTAAGCTCATCATAAGTAGATGGGTACGCACAAGTGGTGGGTCGGACCTGGCCTGCACTGAGAAAATCTCCAGATTTGTGGATTTTATGCGCCTCGAAAGAAGTGCATCTTTGAACGAAATCCTATCGAGGATGGTCTCTTGCACAATTGTATTGTCTAGAGACAGCAGTGGAGGCTACCCTCGCTCTAAGCGAGGTATTCGACGTTCGTTCAGTGGGGCGTGTGTCAGGACGTCTATTTCAAATGTCTGGGCGGAGGAGGACTCGGCTTCGTCCAACCCCATCGCAGGTGTCCCATCGGAACTCGACCAGCCCTCGCTATCGACCATGAACGCGTCGACCATCGTACTCAGCTTGGCCGGGTCTGCGTCTGTGACCCACGCGCAGCCAGTGGCGTGCACTTGGGGTCAATCTCTCAGCAGGTTTGCGCAGCCTTTCAAATTCCGCTGTAGCTGCGGTGGCGCAACGCTGCCCGGCCGCGCCGAAGTCCCTCAGTGGCTCACAACTAGATTAGAGTCGACTTATCGTTTAGTAGGACTTTAGACAAATATACAAGTTCTTACCGATTGGTGAGCTCTAAGATGAATTCCTCACCGAGAAAACCTCCACCAACTAGCCCTGACTGTCTGATGTGCGCTTGTGCCGGTGCTGGGGGTAGTTTCGATGTGGGTGCTACGAGTGACCCAGCGGTCCCACTGACGCTAATTCAATGGGTCAATTCTAGCTTGACAATGCTGCCAATGCTGAGATCCAGGAGCTGATTTGTCTCCTACGCCGTACTGCTGATATCCTCTTCGGTCATGCTGAATGTCAGACTGAAGTTTGAATGAATCTGTATGGCAGCTGCTGTTGAGAAGAGTTACAATTGCGTCACAGGCCCATCAGCTCTTGCCATGTTTTGACCATGGCCAACTTGGTGTCGTTAGATGCACTCTGGTATCCAGAGTAAAATTTTGTTATATTCCCGCTACGAAGTAGGGAGTTCTTATCGAATTGAAGCTCCACGCATCTGGCGCAGCAAAGTGGTTCGTTAGATTTGATTCCTCCATCATGGTGCAATGACTGACTGATGTAAATATGGGACTATAATGCTATTCAATCTGTCGATGTCACAGCGATATCTTACAATAATTAATCGACAGGAAGACTAAGCATGGAGAGTTTAGAGTCGTGGGCTCAGTTGAACGCCTATAATTTTGAAATAACTAGCACTATATTTATCTAAAAGCTTTACCCGCAAAACCTCTTGGACATGCTTCCCGTGAATCTTTCCAGCGCCACATCTCACATTCACGAAAAAAAAACCGGACCCAAGATGCCTGCCATCGCCCCTCCGTCTGTTGAAGAGGTTCTAGGCGAATTTACAGTTTGCATGGATATTGCCATCCTGTACGTTCCCGTCTTTCGATAACGATTATTGCAATGGCACAAATCTTCGATGAACTTGTGCCTCCCTTGTTTACGCACGCTATATCAAGTTTTGGGCACCAGCTTTGAGGAACCGTCTGCTTTTTGGCGCACTGCTTGAGATGCAGAGCAAACGTACGTATTTAAATCCAGTTATTTCATTCGCTGACACGCTGCACTAGTTTATGCGAATTCGCTGATCGCTATGTGCGGTATTCGTCCTGTACCTCGGATAAGACTGATCATACTCGACTCTCTTCCGGGATGAACGCACGAGAACACCTCAGAGCCAGACAACAATACTCCTCTGACCTGGTGGAGATTGGGCTGCATATAAGTCGCAGGTCGCCCAACCGGTACGCACAATCTTTACCAGTCTATGACAAGTAATCCGATGTTGACGACGGCGACGATGACGACCGAGTAGCAAAACATTGAGATACTCCGTGATGTGATAGAGATCACCGATCATACTTCAGATAAGAGCAGGGTTACTAGAAAAAATTAGTACGGTGTACTGGGTGCCCCTATCGTGGTCGGTATAATCCTAGTCAGTCGACGTGATATGCGTGAATCGTGTCGCGCCCAGGAGATAATAGATATTTTGATTCGCAACCGGAAGAAATAGTCCTGTTTTTTGCCTGTGACAATCCATACAGATATTCGGATCACCTCAAGCTGGTATTGCCTCTCGACTCGGAGCGAAAGGGATATCCAATCTCGATTATGGCATCATAAGAGCCGCAAAAGACGAGAGTTTTGAGAAGCAGCGCGAGGGTGACGATGCCGCGATGCAGTCGGAAATGTCCTGATCATCGACGTTGCATGTGAGGTTGATGCCATGCTGCCACCGGTGCCAGCACGCGCGGATGTGGCTGGGCAAAGTGGTATCAATTTTTTGAGAAACTCCCCGCAGGGCATCGGGAGTGGCTCGTTGAGGGCGAGAGCGAGGGAAAGCTCAGCAGCGGAACCAAAACGTACACACTGCAACGCGACGCGCCCGAGTCTGATCATGATTTATCGCGGTGTCGTGACCGGCGCGTCGTGCGCTACTACAATGAGCGCCG